TATATATTTTTTTTCCAATAAAATAAAACCCATTTTATTTTATTTTCCTTGTTCTTTTTGTTTTCTAATTTATTTATTTACCTCATTTTGGGGTGTCACACCACATGCTTGCAAGTAAAGGCTGAACACCAGAAACCGTATGGTAGTTTACAGCCTCTTGAGGTACCGATATGGAAATGGGAGGAATTAACGATGGATCTGCTTACTAAACTACCGAAGACCCAACTACAACACGACAGTATTTGGGTTATAGTTGATCGATTGACCAAATCTACATTGTTCTTACCTGTCCGAGAGTCTTACTCTATGGATCAATGGGCGCGATTGTACAATGATGAAGTTGTCTTGCGACACGGTGTATCAGTGAAGATTATCTCTGATCGCGACTCTCGATTCACTTCTAATCTTTGGACTAGATTTCAACGAGAGTTAGGAACACGTCATGCATTTAGTATAGCCTATCATCCTCAGACCGATGGTCAATCAGAAGGAACCATTCAGACTCTCGAGGATATGTTACGCGCATGTGTCATAGAATTTGGTGGTAGCTGGGATACTCACCTACCCTTGGTTGAGTTTTCTTACAACAATAGYTACCACTCGACAATTGGAATGGCTCCCTATGAGGCTTTATACGGACGTAAGTGTCATACACCCTTGTGTTGGTAAGAGACGGGAGAGAAAGTTTTAGTTGGTCCCAAACTCATTCAGATAACTCATGACAAGATTCAGATTATTCGCGAAAGAATGAAAGCTGCCCAAAATCGTCAAAAGCCTTATGCAGATCGTCGCAAAAGGCCAATCGAGTTCTCGGTGGGTGATATGGTAATGGTGAAAGTTTTTCCTTGGCAAGGTGTACTTCGATTCCGAAAACAAGGTAAGTTAAGTCCACGATTTATTGGCCCGTTCAAAGTATTGGAGCGTATCGGAAAACAGGCTTATCGACTAGAGTTACCRRAGGAACTTAYGGRGATACACGATGTGTTTCATGTCGGGTACTTACGTAAATGCTTGGGTAAACATGAAGAGACGGTGCCCTTAGCCGAAGTCAAAGTAGATGAGAAATTAAGATACATTGAAGAACCAGAATCAATTCTGAACGAGAGAAAAGTAAAACTACGTAATAATGAAGTAGACTTGGTATTGATCAAGTGGAAACACCATCGGGGACCAAATTGGACGTGGGAGCGTAAAGATGAGATGAAGGCGAAATACCTTTTTTTATTTCCACAACAGTGATTTCGGGGACGAAATCCTCAAAATGAGGAGGTATTTGTAACATCTAATTTCTAATATGCCCAATTATTTGCTTAGTGTATTTAATTATTGGGTTAAAGATAACTTATGATTTAGTGGGAGTTTGGGTCTGAAGTTTTAGAATTATATTTCTTAAGAATATATTAGAGGATTTGGAAAATATCACGTCAAATAGATACGTAAAACGAATTTTTTTGGAAGATCTTTTCAGGAATATTTTTGTTGGATATTATAGATTATCTCTTTATGAACGTGTAGGCGAAAATCTCATAGAAAACGGAGGTCCGAGCGAAAAGTTATGAATAATTTAAGTATTTATGGTCAAAATGGGTACCTAGCCGGGACAACCCGGCCCAACTCGAGTTTTAGCATTATAAATTGGAGTTTTGGCCCATTTTTCTTGTCATTTAAGTCYAGAACTCACACRCACACTAGAGGTGCATTTTTCACACACATAGGCTCGATTCAACTCAAATCAAAGAGAAACTACAAGATCTTTGAAGGATTTGATCATCAAGTAAGGTATAACCCATTTTTTGCACTTGTTCTTGGTTGACATTCTTGTTATATGGATTGCATGTTGAGATAGAGTTAGGGTTTCATATGGGTTTGATCTTAAGTGTATAAAAGGAGTGCATTTTAGTGTTTTTGGCTTGAAATGATCATTAGATTCAAAAGATTATCAAGATTTATGCAAGTTCATCATATGAACTTTGACTTGATTAAGTCAATGATTTGGGAGATAATATAAATGATAAAATAAAGGTTGGATTTTGGTTGTTTATGTCAAATATGTTAAATTAAGTTGAGATTCAGAAGTTGGAATAATTTGGAATCAAAATGGTTTGAGAAAAATGTTTGAAAATGAGAATKTTGACTTAAGAATGCATTGAAAGTGTGCAGACTTTGAAAAACTGTATAAAATCATAGAAAAATCCAAATGAGGTCAGGCCAATTTTTTTAGTTAGATAATTAAGTCTAATTTATTTCTTATTTTATAAACAAGGCATGAATTCGAACTTAAAATGGGCAAAACAGTTCTGTATGCAGCACCTGTACATAGAAAATTACGTAAAGTGTTCAAATATGATATGTGTATATCATGAGTTTCTTATATTGGTTGCTTATGAGATTTTATGCATTTACTCCAGGGGATAATTAGAACATATTTTGATGCTTTGGAAGCAATCTAAGTGTGGTAGCTTGGACTTTCTTTGTGAGCTCATTTTGGAGCTTTTCGGTATTATTGTGGTTGCCCGGTGAGTAATATAGTTAATTGTTACATATTGATTTGAACATATATATTTTTTCATATGAATGTTTTTGGTCTTGAATGGAGTCACACGATCTTGATTTGTCTTTGATTCCATCTCTTGAGTCAATTCCTTATTACTATCTCGGTACATCGCTTTGCTTTCTGGATCCGGACTCGTTGTTTTGTTCCTTGAATTGTACGCTATAGTACGGGTACTACTTCGTGTGGTACACCGGAAGTTTATGGCAAAGTCAAGATCCCGGGTTGGACGGGTGAGACTTTCTGCGGTTGTGAATACTCATTGCTCAAAGAGGAGGAAGAGCAATGAGTAGGGAACCTTGGCACATACCCGGTAGAGGAAGACGGGCAGTGCGAGGTTTCCCGTAATGTATGATTCTGACTCGGACTTTGGCATAAGCCCGGGAGGTAAAGCACGGGTTGATGCACTGTCCTCGTTATGTATACCGATTCGATCTCTTGGTTCTTGATATTTATTGGTATTCTAACGTTGTTGAATATATTTGGTTGTTGATCCTATCTCCTTGTTGTATTGAACATCAATAGTATGGTATACAATGGTGATTTGAATATGGAATCCTATGATCTTAGCATCCGGTATGTAATTGTTCACTCGTTTTCTTGTAAGTTTCGGTTTGCATCTGGATGATGTCTTGAACTCTTTTATTGATAAGAGTTTATTATGTATGTTTACAAACATGTGCGATATTGATATGTAATATTTAACTATTTAACTCACTAAGCGTTGCCTTACCATTTAAGTGGCAATCTCTCTCAGGAAAGAAGACGGATAAAAAGAAAGAACCTGTTGTCTGACTCGAAGATTTATCGGGGAACTTGAAGATTTTGATCTTGCTTTTGGGTAAATAGTAGCTTATTACCGTATCTCATAGTTGTAGTAAGTGTAGCTTATATATAGTCTTGTTCCGGTTATAAATATGTCACGTATTTTTTTGCTACTTAATTCGGGTTGTAAGTAAAAATCCGTTATATCCGGTTTGGAATTATGTTTCGGGTGGTTTTATCACTAAAATAGAACGGATATTTCGAAGTTTTTTAGAAACTTAATATCCCATATTTTGAGGTTAATTATTTTATGCCCAGATCTGTGTGTTTCAATGGGTTGGTCCATTTTCCTAGCCTCTGGTCCTTCATGGCCTCTGGACCTTCATTGCCTCTGGACCTTCATCGCCTCAGGACCAATTCATCGCCTCTGGTCTTCTTCCAGACTTAGTCATTTCAGCAGCCTCTGGTCCATCGCCTGCCTCTGGACCAAATCATCGCCTCTGGTCTTCTTCCAGACTTAGTCATTTCAGCAGCCTCTGGTCCATCGCCTGCCTCTGGACCAATTCATCGCCTCTGGTCTTTTCTCCAGACTTAGTCCTTCATGGCCTCTGGACCAATTCATCGCCTCTGGACCAATTCATCGCCTATCTCTGGACCGATTGCTTTGACAAAAAATTTAGAATAATTAGGATCAATTTTGGTCTCAATAATCAATAAATTATATTTTATTGGAGATTTTATAAAATTGGTAATTTGGGGTTTGCTCAAGCGAGATGTTACAGGCACCGGTAATAAACATTTTTTAGTGTTTGGATAAACAACGTATACCGATGTCAAACCGGTAATAAGAAGTTTTTGACGAAGTTAAATCATTCTGATTTATAATAAATTGATAAGTGTTTTTGTAGAAAAGCATAAGTTGTTTCAAATAAACAATCTCAAACACCCCCTTAATGTACAGTTTTATAAGCTCGGAAAATTAAGATTAAGGGGGTGTTTGGGATTGTTTATAAAAACAACTTATTGACTTGTTCCGGTATGGTACCGGTAATAAGCACTTTTGAATGCTTGGATAAACAACTTATACCGATGTCAAACCGGTAATAAAGAGTTTTTGAAAAAGTTAAATCTATCTAACTTATAATAAGTTGATAAATATTTTTTTATAAAAAAGCATAAGTTTGATAAATGTTTTTGTAAAAAAAAAACATAAATTGTTTTTGGATAAGCAATCCTAAACACCCCTAACAATTTCAAATAATATTGTGAAAATGAATTTAGCCCGGTCCAACCCAACCCAAAACCTGACCTAAAATACCCACCATACGAAATCTATTAATTCATGATCAAGAAGAAATTGACCTGTTTGATCGACAAAGTCGGACGGAGAGATTAACAAAGTGATCGGTAGACCCCTGTTGGAGAACAGCAATCACTGCGGTATCCGATTCAACACCTCAGGCGTATTTATATCTGCACCAGGTATATACCACTATATGTTGACGTTGAAATTTAGATCTTTGTAGGTTTAATGGCTTTTGAACAGCTCCAATTACTTCAAATTGATGTGGATTTTTAGACATTTGAAGGATAAATCCATTTTTTAACTTCGATCTGCTATGAAGATGTAGTTGTTGGCAGAAAATTACTGATAATGCTTATAAGATGTGGTGATGCGTTGTTGATTGTTCCTTTTACCTGTATGTGTGAACTGTAAAGCTTTGAATCTGAGTAGCTGCCGTAGGTTACTGTGATCAATGCGGTGAAAGTCATATCGGGAAATGGTCATGACTCCCCCAAAAAGTAACTACTCCTGCCCCTTGTTAATCACGCTCAATAGAAACCCTGCATCTCCTTCCTCATCGGCGCCTCCCTCTTTTCCCCACGCACCCTCTCTTCACGACGAGCAAGTTCCCAGGCGACCTCTGCATCTCCTTCCCAACGACCTCTTTCCCGGTATTGATTTCTGCTCCCTTTTCGATTTCTCTTCTCTGTTCATCTCCAACTTCTTACCCAAAAATCGAATCAAATCCTTTTTTCGACGACCTGTAATGTTTGTTTGAATCCTCTCTGAGTTTACTCACTTCTATAGCTTCACTGCCCTTCTCTAGATCTCCTACACAGGATTTAGTTGGCGTGTTGGATCAATGAATATTCGTAACCTCTAGAGCTATTTTAGAGCATGAATCCACTTTTTTAAGTTGATTTTCCTTATTTTGGTATAGGTTGTATATGTAGATCAACAGGATAAGGTACAATGATCCTTGTATTTTGGTTTTTCTTATGGTTCAGATTTTCCATTGATGATGTCTACAGAGCATAGCTAGTATTCTGGTTGTATATATAGATTGTTGATAAATTGGTGTAAAGAAAAAATGGTTCAAGAAATAACAAAAACCCTTGTTGTCCTCTAAATTTAAAATTTCTTCTTTGGGATTGAATTTGGGAATCCATACTAGATCTGACCAACTACCCATCCTACCTCCTCTACGTTCTTGACGTTCTTGACAGCCCATCTTTGTCTCAGTAGTCTTTCAGTGGCATGTTTCGGTCCTCTGATGTATTACCACATCCCCAAGGGTTAGGCCCACCAGATTATTTTTTTTTCTTGCGACACGAGAATTCATGTCCGGTTCATTCGGAGGATGGATCTATAAGAATTCACCTATCCCTAACTCACTTCTTGGTCTTCGACCCCCTCAGTCACTACGAACGCCCTCGATAAGTGCAATGGGATGTGTGAATTTTTCGCCTATTTCTGTATTTTTTTTCGAAACGAAGAAAGGAAGGAAAAAACAAACTATAATTTGTAACTTGCTATCCTCTTATGCAAGATTATGGTATTTAACATCCAAAAAACTGCCAAATAAAATGCGTCCCAAGCCGAAACCGAATCCAATTTAATTGTTTACTTATTCAATTTCAATGAGTGAATTTTCAAGAATCTCGTCTCAATCATCATTTATCAGGACTCTTCGGCGTAAGTTCCTTGGCTCCTTCTTCTTGTTGCTGCATATCTCGTTTGTACACGTCTTCTCTTTGTTTTCGGGGCCTCTAGTAAGTTATAGACAGAGTTCGAAAAGGTCAAAAAACTAAAAAAAAATAAAAATAAAAAGATATGTAATAAAAATAGGATTCTAATCGATGAATCGTGAATAGTTATATGACAGGTAGGTTTTTGTATCGGATAACTACGCCCTCGAGCTCGAGGTTTTAATCTAGAAATGACTAGTCTTAGAATATAGTTGAACCAAAACACCTATTTTTTTGAGTGATCATATGAGCTCCAGGAATAGTCGGAGCCATACCCAACCGAAAAGGATGTTATCCAGGCGCATTTCAAGTAATTCTTTATTTCTTCATGTTCAAAAAAAAAAGATTGTTTAGAGCCGATGGGACAAAATCTCATCTATTCGAGAAATATATCGATCAATTCCGATTCTTTCTTTTTCTCTGATTGTGATCGAGTTAAAGAAAATTGTGGTGAAAAGTTTATCTTTTGGATGATTAGAGACACACACTATGTATCTGATGATTTGATTTTATATTAATAGTTCAACTAAATAACGCATAGTTCATACTCATGTGTAAAACAGTCTGTTTCTATCGTCAGACTGTTGATTCAGGGGGAAAAAAAGTAAACAACACATGTTTGTCCACCAACGAGTTTATCCATACACGACTTACTAGAAAATTTGGTAAACAGCCCCTTATTTGCATCTAATGTATCTTGATTCTTGTCATAAAATTACAAAAGGTGGAGGCTATGGCTGGCCATGATGATTCAGGGGCGTCCGGAAAGAAATCAAGTGAGAATGAAGTACCTACCTTTAATGTGGAGAATATGCAAAGCAACATGAAGGTGGTATACTACAGGTCAGTTTTATAACTTTGGCCAGAGGAATTACAATTCAGATCAGTTTTATGCCTTATACTATGCTTTCCAGCTTAGCTAGCGTTCAAACCAAACCAAGCAAATCCAGTGAGTCTATGAGGGTAAGAAGTACGCAGACCCTACCTCTACCCCGAGGGGTAGGGAGTTTGTTTCCGTAAAAACCCCAGTGTTCAATCATCCACAAAGTATAATCTACCCTCAGTTATTAATTAATGGGTTGAACCAGTAATTGGATAGCTTAACGTATGATTTATTTTGATGGCTCAGAATTGGAGAAGGCAGGGTTCAGTGGGGTGTTCATATGGGATGATGCTGTAGCAAGGGTAACTGTAGGGGAACTTGTTGCTGGATGGAATCCTTTGTGGAAATTTGTAACATGTGACTTGCTCCATCCCAAAATAAATGTTTACAATGAAAAAGGCACACCAGTTATAAAAGCATGTATTTTCTACACTTTTTAATTAACTAAATGACATTTGTCCTTAATAATCGAGGAAGTAATGAATTTCATCTCACAATTAAGGGTAGAAATGGGAAGTACGCACTTCTGAAATTAGAAACTTGTTTTAGGACAAACTAAAATAAATATGTGGACACTTATTTTGGAATAGAGAGAGGACCTCGGTAGTGAATTGGAAATAAGGTTTTGTAGTTTTCCAGGGGTTCCGTCCCCTTTTCCAAAAAAAAATAAGGTTTTGTAAATCTTATGAAAAAGTAAGCATTTACCACTGGACATTTGTTCAATCTTGAGCATTTTTGGTGGATCATGATCCGATGTCCTAAGAAGACCCTTCTTTGTACTGTAAACGAAAAAGCTATTTATATTTTTGCTTGGCAAAGGCTTGATTTAGCCAGAAGTCATATGTATTTGGTAATGTCTTCAAGAAATTGCTTATGGCTTCCTTTGACTACAGGTCACGATAATATCAACACAATAAGGAATGAAAACTTGATTGGTTTTTCTTCATAACTAAATAAGTGTAACCCCCTTCTTTTTCTAGCTAAACACTCCCTGTTTACTCCCTTGCAAGGGACTTTTAACTTTTTCTCTTTTAGTCCATGTCTTCATTGTATGGTTGTCAAAATTGATTGGTTTATGATTGGACGCTTACAACTCCGATAGATTCATAATGCAAAAGAGGCAGATCTTATTAGAGAATTGAAAACCTCTCTGATTTACCATCATATTGATGAATCTGCCTTGTTTTGGCATTAAATCATACTATTTGAGAAGTTTTATCCAAGATTTCATACAACATTTGTGTTGTTTTGGGGGATCTTTCTGTAGAGTTTACGGATATATAACTTATTAGTATCCACATGAAAAGAAAGGTTTCAAGAAATACAAATTACATTGTTATGTCGACACAGGTGCCTCACTTTGTCTCGCTAGCAAAGAAGTCATTCCAGATGACCTCTGGGAAAATTCCCCAAGAGAAATAAAGGGCACCATCGCCGACAAAAACACTATTTCAATAAACAAAGTTTGTAGAAATCTTTCTATCGAACTTGCAGGAGAAGTCTTTAACTTCCCAACGATCAACCAGCAAGACTCTGGTATTGATTTGATAATTGGCAATAACTTTTGCCAACTCTATGGTCCTTTTATTCAATGGCCAGAAATGATAGCCTTTCATCTTAATACTGAAATGGTTATTATTAAAAAGGTTACCAAAGCTTACAGCATTGGCAAACCGGGTTTTCTTGAATCCATGAGAAAGGATTCTAAAATCAAACAAATCCCAGGTACAAATATTACCCAGGAAAACTTAGATCGCACTTTTCTCATAGAAATAGACCTCTGGGAAAATTCCCCAAGAGAAATAAAGGCCACCATCGCCGACAAAAACACTATTTCAATAAACAAAGTTTGTAGAAATCTTTCTATCGAACTTGCAGGAGAAGTCTTTAACTTCCCAACGATCTACCAGCAAGACTCTGGTATTGATTTGATAATTGGCAATAACTTTTGCCAACTCTATGGTCCTTTTATTCAATGGCCATAAATGATAGCCTTTCATCTTAATACTGAAATGGTTATTATTAAAAAGGTTACCAAAGCTTACAGCATTGGCAAACCGGGTTTTCTTGAATCTATGAGAAAGGATTCTAAAATCAAACAAATCCCAGGTACAAATATTACCCAGGAAAACTTAGATCGCACTTTTCTCATAGAAATAGAAAAGTTCAGAACTATAGAAGAGACTTTAGACAAAGTCTGCTCTGAAAACCCCATTGATCCTCAGAGAAAAGTGCGAATGGTGGCCTTTATTTCTAGTGAATGGCTAATGAGATGATAGCATTTTTGTCATAGATATATGTATATTTTAGTTTAATACATCGTTAGGACGCTTACTTTTTGTGTGTTGCATTTATATAAATTATATATTATGTGAACTATTCTGGAAAGGTCTAGTGAAATCTACCATTCAATTTGGTTAATGATTCATGAAATGAGTATAACAACTCTGGGTTTGGTGTCAACTCGCATAGCGGGTTGGATATCCAGGTTAATAAAAAAAAACACTCTAGGTTTGGTTAAAATCTTCAACCACGTTTCTTCATAGAAATCTTGGTGTATTTCTATTGATTATTGTAATGTTTTTGTGGGCCATGCAGTCGAACATTTATGTCCATCATTGGTGGAGTGATTGCTGGAATTTTGGGATTTACCGGCCTGATGGGCTTTGTGGTTTATGTACTTGTCATGGCTATTACGTCCGTATGTCTAACAGCCAAGGCAGGTTTTTCAATCCATTCATACTTTGATAGCTGGAATAGGGTTCTCATGGACGGCTTTCTAGGCGGCCTTTTGGTAAACTTCTCATATCTTTCAGTTCTTTTCTTAATTTTCAATACCATCTGCTAGATTTGTATAATAACCAGCCAACTATGTCTTTTTTGCAGTCGTTTGTGCTGTTCTGGACGTATCCTTTTATTCTTGCTCGTTTTTCTTTATCACACTCGCACAGAAATACCACATGAAATTTTTTCATATGCACTCCTTGAGTCATTCTGTTGTTGGCTTGAAAGCATGAGAAGCATATTTCCATTTTCCACGCTTGCTTTCTCGTTTTTTTTGTGTCACAAGTTGGGGTCTTCACAAAGCAACCCCTCTACCCCTTGGGATAGAGAGAAGGTCTATTTGGCTTTCTTATATCTAGTCCAACTTGCGTTGAGGAAAAGCACACACCTTTTTGTAAGGTTTGACTTTGTTATATCGAGTCCAACACCCAAAAAGATGTATCTGGCTTTATTACTAGTATGTTTTTGATATATACCTTGACCATGGAAAAAGGTTTGCTTACGATATCGTGCATATCTTCTAAACGTGAAGCAAGTTGGGTTTCCGCAGCTTTTCGGAAGAAGTTAGATAAAGAAGCTGTTATGTAAGGTTTTTATATATGATTTTGGCACTTACGGTATGACTTGTTACTATGCTCTCTTTTTTATTGCTAAGTCGGTATTTGATTCTGGTTATTGTTGCAAGATATTTGATTCGTTTAGGTTTTCATAAGACAGATGAACTGAAAGCCCAATTTGGGATCGGAGTTTGATTGAGATAAGAGACAAGGATGGGTACTTAAGCCCATAACAGCTCTTGTACCCTACTCCAAGTGATCCTTCTTTTTTAAGCAAATTGTGACGGTAAGAAATCAGTATTGATAAACTCAGTGGTAACAATTGTTGTGTATGTTTGATAAACACATCAAAGCTTCCAAACCCCTCCAATTTTGAATCATTCCACGAGATCCAAATCCAACAAAACAATTCTATCAAAAACAAATGTATATGTTACATTTGATTTGTAGAATTAGGTTAGATTTGAAAGGATTTGGAATTGAATTTCATTTTAATTATAGGTTTAGGGGTCGTTTACCAAATACTTGCCCGGGTAAGTTAACACTAAGTCATATTTCCTTACCGGATGAATATGGTAAGGACCAAGAATCTTACCCGGTAAGTGAGAACGACGACTCTTACCACGGTAAACGCTTACCGGGTAAAATGTTGCATATGATACCGTTTTGGTGGACTAAAATCTTATCCTGTAAGTAAATGATAGTGTTAAATTTTACCGATAATTGTTTGGTAAACGGCCCCTTAGTTTGAAGGATTTCCTCATTATAAATCAATAAAATCCCACATTTTGAAATTGCATGGAGGTGGTTAGTATTTCAAGGGATTTCTATGTAATATTTTAAATATATTAAAAACATTTATTTTGTAGTAATCAATTAATAAAAAATTAATATTTTTATATTTTTTAAAAAAATGGAATTTTATTTCATTTCAAATTCTACAAACAAAATATAGCAAAGGTTTCAAATTCTTCTGATTCTAATCTTACAACATCACACCAATGATTCTAAATCCTCTTAATTCCAAATCTTTTCACATAAATTAAATCCCTTAAAACCATTTCATCAAACCAAACACCTTACTTTTGGTCTGATTTTTAGAATTTAAATAAATTTGAAGGGATTTGTAATTCAATTTCATTTCAATCTCATGTTTTGTTTAAAAAATTGTTTGGATTTGAAATCCCATAGACATGGGATTTAATTAAAAATCTCATAGGATCAGTTAGGGGCTGTTTACCAAATTTGTTATTAAGTCGTGTATGGATAAATTTATCTGTTTGGATAAAAGGGTGTTGTTTACTTTTTTTATTTGAATCAACAGTCTGAATAACATAAATGACCGATTTACCTCCAATATTAATTATTTGAACATCAAAATAGAAAATCATAAAGAGGTCGACGAAGGGGTGTCTTATCTGGGAAGGAGGCGGTGTTTTAAATAAGGGGTAGGGTGTTATTTTTATGGTTGAATGGGTCAACACATCATTTCTATTAGTGCAATAAAGCCGTAAGTAAACAACCCAAATGAACTGTGCGAATAAGCCAGATAGACCAATAAGCAGAGTTAAACCACAAGTAAACAGTCCCTTAGTATTTCATGAGAGGACTTTGCAGAAGTGTATAATAATGTTTTATAATATATTAAAAATATATATTTTATAATAATCAATTAATAAAAAGATAATCTAATTACTTATCGTTATTTTTATACAATTATTTATAAATAATGAGTATCTTAAATCATTCAAACCAAATACACTAAAGATTTTAAATCGTTCCAAACTCTTCACGAAATTCAAAACCAGTTCATCAAACTAAACTTCCGTTTAAACTAGGGGTTGTCTTAATAGTTCCATTAAAATACCATTTCTGAATCGTTAAGAAATGAATCTTGTTTAACAAAAAAGTTTACCTCTTAATGGTTCTAAAACCCTTTGAATGATTTTATATCATAAATCTCTCTTAACCATAAAGAGCCTTAATTTTATTGTACACAATTACTAAACAATTATATTTCATTTCACATTATATTATGAAAGCCTATTAATCATTCTGACCACGTCATTATGCACCAAATCATTCAACAATTATCAAACAACTCCTAGTCATATTTCAATATACTAATTTGATAAGCATGTGGTGAACTTATTATGACTTTGACCAAGTAATATACGAAGACAAACACTTTATATCCTCATAAATGAAATGTGAAAATTAAATAACTTTTTAGAAAAAATGTTTTTTCTATATACAATTTGCGTTAAATAAATGGTTAGGTTTGTAGATTGACGACATTCAGGCCTTCGTCTCAACCAATGGGTTACAACCTGCCAACCAAAAACAACAAAACAATTAAATTCATCACAACCACAATAAATATATATATATATATATATATATAAATTAATTAATTATTTTATTACAATAAAAAGGACGGCCCATTTGAGTTATACAACTTGAAGTTACCATAATGCCCCTTCCAACCCTCCCAACTTTCCACAATTTCAGCCTTTTGGTATCTCTTTGCCCAATCCATCATAGCCAAGGTTACACTTTTACCAAATTCTCCTTTTGCATTTCTTCCATTAAATTATTTATTTATGATTTTCTTTCAATTTATAAACAATGCTAAACCAATATGCAACACACACCTCAGCTCATACATTTCTCCCCTACCCTCAGCTCATAACATACATTTCCCCATTTCATTCCATACTCATACTCAACAAAATCAAGCATTATAAACAAAGACAAGAACCAACAATTTCTTCACAAAATCCATATGCTAAAATGCACTTCAGATTATCCAATCATACATACCAACAACAAAACATCTCTCATCTTCTAAAACATCTAAAAAGAACTGTCATAACTTACAAATCCAACATCACAAGTACCATACTTTCTTTAACTTCCTAAAACTTTACCATTCTTCATATAACTGCATGAAATGGTGGTAGTAGTAGTAGTAATAGTAGTAAACAACACAATGATGAACCATTTCTACCCATGGAATAATTGTAACATAAAGCTATAGAGAGAGAGAGAGAGTTGGACCTATGTATTGATGATTTCTTGCCAACCTCTCATCGCTTGGATGGTCTGTCGTCATCCTTGCCATCATCATCGTCATCATCATCATCAGAGTCGTCTTTGCTGGACCTCTTTCGCTTTGGTGGGGCTTCCACTTTCCCACCATCATCATCGTCCTCCTCGTCCTCTTCTTCAAGTTCTTCATCGACGCCATTCTCTTCTGGCTCAAAATCACTAGCATCTTCCTCGTCTTCTGGATTGGCCACGGGTCGAATCAAGTATTCAGTTCCCATATCCTCCTACAAGCCACATAAAAGTTGTCAGCTACAACAATGATAAAAGAAACAAATATGGAATACAAACAGAATATTGCATCAGACACATAAAACACATAAAGGAGTTCCAAAAATCCTTTAAAAGAGAAAACAAGAAACACAGGCATACAAAGAACGAAAATTACATCATTTTAGATCAGAATCTGCATAGGGAAAAGCTTGCGGCACAGCCAATGCTTTCTTACCTCATACATAAATAGAATGTGGATTCTAACATAGTTTATAGAAAGAAGCTAACAGACTGATATAATGGATATAAAAGAGCAATCAACCAATAACAACCCCAACACAAAAACTAAGCTATACCCGTGTTTGTCAATTCATAAATCAAATTAAGAATCTCTATCTAGTTTCAAGAACTACGAATATGGCCAAATAGGAATCGTGTTTTCCATGAAATGTCAACTAAAGACGAAGTCCCATTCATGTTGCTGTTAGAAGTTTCAGACCGATAAGCTCTTCCCAAATCCAACGGCAACACAAACAAGTTTTTAAGATAATCTGGTCTAATATATAAATTTAACACCGATAAGAGGATGATTCGTTTTACAACGAAAGATGCTTTTCAAACTAGATCACGGATCACTATAGCGAGTCATATGGTTTACTACACAAATTGAATCATACAACTGAAATCATCACCAGTATGGTCCAAACCACAAGCAGTTTTGACAACCATGACTAGATCTAAAGCTTTGCCAGAGAAAACAAAGCAACAAGCACCAAACTCAAGAGAAGGTTGCTAGAAAATGAAGCATGAAAGCTGCAGTGAACCTGAAAATTACCAGATCCAGGTATTCTTTCAATAAGTCACCAAATTTATCAAAAACCAAAAAGAGTTCATAGTTGATGAACAACTTAAGTCAATATTGATAAGAACAGAAATTTTGATGAAAAACTAAATCAACATGGAGATAAATTGTAGCTTTTAACTCATAAAAAGAAAAAACACATCTAAAAATAAATGTAAATCTATCTCTACGCTTGTTTGCAAATAGAAGCATAAAATCATCAGATCTAAACCAAAATTTCACAAAAACTATCAGCAATGAACTAATTACTAATTAAAGTTAATAAACTAATTACTAGGAAATTTTAAAACGATTAATTAAAGTGATGATAAATATACCTCCTCTGGTTCATCTTCTTCCTCATCGTCGTCGTCGTCGCTATCTTCACCGTCATCGTCGTCGTCATCTCCATCATCATCTTCATCCTCTTCGTCATCCTCGTCGTCATCTTCAACTTCTACCGGCGCAGCCGGTGGACCACCGCCTGATGTCTGAAAAACCTCCTGCACGTCATCGTCATCTTCTTCTTCCTCCTCTTCCTCACCATCATCATCATCTTCGTCTTCACCGTCATCCTCTTCAACTTCAACTTCACCATCAATTTCTACAGTATCATCAACAACAATTGCTTCAATATTATCGTCACCTTCAAACTCCAACTCTTCTTCGATCAACATCTTCATCTTTGAAGATAATTCACAGCAAAATTCTCTTCAAAATTGCAGGAGATAGATGATGATGAGCGGAAGGAGGGGAGTAGAGGGGGTTCTTCGTTCTTCGGAGTAGCTCAACGTAACGTATGATCTGGACCGTTGAATCCTTGTTTGACGAGGATCAATGACGAGGAATTTAATCGGACGGCTAGTATGATGAGTGAACCTTGCGGCGCCTCTGTATTACGGGGTCACGTGATGGTAACTAGGGTTTTGTTCGTAATTCTCTGGCGTTGATGAACCAAAGGAGGGTAATTTTGTCAATCTGCAACAGTCAACTCTTCTAATGGACCTTGACCTAACAGGCCCGTTCGATATGGGCCCAGCTTCAACTAACCACAAAAGAGATGGCCAAAAACCGATCTCGGATCAGGCCGGGCCGGTTCTAATCGGTCATAACCTTTCTCATAACCGGTCCCGGTTCTGGTCGAAAATGATAGGACCGGTCAAAGTACTTCTTAACCGGTTATGGGCCACCGGTCTCGGTCCCAACCGGTCCTTGCATTAAAAAATAAGATTTTTTTTAATTTTTTTAATAATATATATTTTTAATATATTATAAAATTTGCAATTGGGTCACTCAAATACACTTTAAAAATGCGTTTTAATATAATTAAAATTACGTTTTCTTATAAAAATACATTATAAAATTATTTAAAAATACATTTATTTATAAAATTATTTGAATTTTCGGGCCGGACCGGGCCGGTCCATAGTCGGTCCCATAACCGGTCCTGGTCGATCTTGGTCCCACGAAACTACCAAAAACCTCAACCAGTCCTGGTTTTCGGTCCCATAACCGGTCTTTACCGGTCCCGGGCCAGGCCGGTCCTTTGTCGGTCCCGGTCTCGATCCTCCGGCAGTCCCGGGCGGGGCCGGGCCGATTTGGCCATCTCTAACCACAATACTCCACTTATTAGATAAACTACAATTTTGGACCCTATGATTTACATCCAACTACGAAAGTCATCCCTAGACTTTAGTAAGTACAATTATCATCCCTACTATTTACATTTTGCTTTGAAAATAGTCCCTTAAATTTAATACCGTTAAAAATCCCAGTTAAATGTGGGATATTTTCGTCCTTTTAACCTTTTTTTGTCCTTTCATATTTTGTCTTTACTCTAACCATAGACCACAAGAACCAAGAGTGTGGTTTTCTTTTTTATTTCTCCTCTTTATATATAAAACTAGTTGTGTATCTGCACAATGCGGCGAATGTAGAAATTTAACTGTAAAATATGAATAAAGCTTATTTGCAATGAATATAGGATACCGGTAGAAATTCAAGTACTTTGAACATTGTTAACTATGCCATTAGATGATCATTTCATTCCATATGGAATATTAGGGGTGAGAAGGTTTAAAAAATAAACGCACAAAAAAAAACATGTCTTGGAGAAATTACATAATTGTCATTCATCAACTCTTATATCTCACAATCTTTCATGAGCCTTGCACTTCATGATATTGAGGAAGTACTTTTTCATTAAGGGAACCTTTTCAAAATATTGCCGTTGGGTTCATGAAAAACAAGGTGGTGAAATTGGGGTGGTTCTTCTATTAGGGCAGAGTACATACATATGAGATGCATTGCTCATATTCTTAATTTGGTTGTACAAGATGGATTGAAATTAGCAGATTCATCAGTTAAGAAGATTAGGGATTACATTAGGTGGGTGAGGGGTTCTCCATCTAGGTTGAAGAAGTTTAGAGAACTTGCAGAATTGCTTGAAGTGAAAGAGAAAAGTTCCTTATGTCTTGACGTTCCAACTAGATGGAACTCCACGTATATGATGCTTCGAACCGCAATAGGTTACAGACAAGTTTTTGAAACGTATGAGAGTAGTGACAGCGCGTTACATTTGGATTTGGGAGATTCGCTGCCTTCATATCTTGATTGGTTATCTGTTGACAGCCTGGTCATATTTTTGAAGACATTTTATGAGATGACAATTAGAATTTCTGGCTCATTTTATGTCACCTCAAATTCTTTCTTAACCGAGATTTCAGATTTGAGTTGTATTATTGCCGATATGTTACAATCTACGTCAAAAGTTGAAGAGGTATGTTTATCTTCCTTTAATATTTCCTTTACTATTTACTTATATTTGGTTGCTTACTAACTTTCTGTTTTTGATTTATGAACAGGAAATGGGTGTTAAAATGAAAGAGAAGTTCAGTAAATATTGGGGTGATCCAGATAAGATGAACTTCATCATATTTTTTGGCAATATATTGGACCCTAGAGACAAGGTTGAGTACATGCAAGTCCAGCTCAATCAAATGTATGGTGAGGATCAAGGTAAGTCATGCTTTGAAAAGGTAAAGTCTAAATTGGATATGTTGTTTCAAGAGTA